GTATAATCACCAGAAAATAAGAATTATGTTTTTGCTTTAGAATGATATTTTTATATCCACATAGGAAGCGGGTCCTCATCTATGGATATCACCATGTTGCACCGCCGTGTTTCTGCAATAGCCCAGAAAGGACAAACCAAACTGTGGCTCCAGATAGGACCATCCATAGTTTCGCTTTAGCCACCATTAGCCACTTTTTATCACTGGGTCCATTTGTTTTGGAGAGGAAGACACCTTTGTGGACAATTTGGCTCCAGGTAAAAACTTTCTGAACAATAAACACTGACGGAATTCAAACCAGGAGAATGGTCAGCTGGATGCAACCTGCAGTCCTCACCACTAGATGCCACTTAATCCCGTAAATCTTACACACTTTAGCAAATGTTGAAAATAAAGTGGACAATATGAGGAAAAACACCTGAGTATGCAGCCAACCATTCTCTCCCTAATCCTTAAAGAGATGTTAATTTTGCAAAAACAGCACTAGTTTGATTGACGACAATCTTACTTATATTCATCATTTAGTCCAGACTGTGATCAGCAGCTTCTAAGATGCTGATCACAGTCCAGACTGTGATCAGCATCTTAGAAGAAAAGATTGCTTGTAATTATAATAATTATGGGCATCATCAATGGTCCTAATCCCACCTGAGTGTTTGATGTCTGCTGTTAAGTTAAAACACCAGTAGACCTTAATACACAAATTATGGAAGCGACACAAAAAAATCCCAGATTTTGTAGTAAAAATGAAAAGTACTCAAGGTCCACTTACTGGCTTTTACTGGTGCATTTCATGGCCTTCTTCCCCAGATAATGCTCAGTTCTCATCAAGTAAAACTAATTAGGCAGTACTTAATGTCGTAGTGATTTCTTTAGTAAGTATGGTACTTCTAAGTTATTTCCAAATTGACATTTGGTGGTGTGCTGTTGTATTGTAAGGTGTTTCTATTATTTTGTCCACCCCCATGTATCAGTGTGTAGACAGATGCACTATCACATCCCACTAGTTTCTGTCCAGATCATTAGATAGTAACTATGTGATGTCTGTGAATGTGCTTATCAGAGCTCAGCTCACATCCTGCAGCAGTTAAATCAGAGAAATAATTATTTGTTGTTATTCAGTGGGTGAACACTAGATGGCAGCAGTGGACTTTGTGTTAATGGGTAATGGAGCAGTGGGAGTAGATGTGTTCTGACCGCTCAACAGCTGGAAGTTTGGTGAAATAGGTACTGATAAGTACTGATCACATGAGTGAACAGTGGAGCAGTTTCTGTGGATGCTTGGCTGTTTTTTGTGCTGTGAAATCTTGTCACCATTAGAACCCACTCCAACCCCTCCTCACATGTTTTACAAATATCAAATTGCAATAAGATAAGCCCAAATTATTTTTCTTTGTCAGTATTACCCTGTACATGCCTCAGGTGTAGGAACTGAGTTGCAGCTCAGTGTGGGATTTTACCTGTCAACTGACACAACAAAGCTATGGAAACACATTTAAGACTGTGGAAAAAATATCCTGTAAGTATTTAAAAATAATGAAAAACTTTCTCTAAATAAAAAATGAAAAAATTAGATAAATAATGAAAAACTTTCTCAACAATGACAAAACTTTCAACATAGCAATTTTGTATCTCAAAATAGTGACTTGCTTACCTAAAAATAATGAAAAACTTTCTCTAAATAACAATTTTATCTCAAAAAATATTGACTTTATCTAAAAGTAATGGAAAACTTTTCTCAACATAACAATTTTAACTCAAAATAATGACTTCCTTATCCAAATAAAATGAAAAAACTTTTCAAAATAATGATTCTATCTCAAAATAATGACTTAGTATCTCATCTAAAATGAAAAACAGATATATTTCTAACTAAATGAGCACCTGTTATTTCATACCTTTTTAAATTATGTGATCTACCAGACTATTTAACCTCCAATTTAGACACCATTAATATGTTAGTTTATAGTTAATAGTTAAATAATACTTTCTGACTGTTTTGTTTGTTTGTTTGTTTGTTTGTTTGTTTGTTTCTGTGTGCTCTTTCTTACCCATTGTGTGTGGGTAACGGACATTAAAAAGATATTTACACATGGGCTGAATCTGTGAACATAATGACTGCACTGTGAGACTGCACTGAATTTCTTTAAAATAAAAATAAGTAAAATAAAATAAACAAAAAGACTTAGTATCTTAAAATAACACTTTCCTTGCCTAGAAATAATGGAAAACTTTCTCAACATAATGATTTTATCTCGAAATAATAATAACTCGGTATCTCAAAGTAATGATACACAATAGCCTACTGAGTACTTCAGGCAGATTTCTCATTAGCCATCACACTGGCAGAAATGTGCTTCCATACAAATCCACAATGTTAGATGTAAAGCAGTGTAATGCATCATTATATACACCACGTAACTGTGTTTTTGTTTTCTCTGTAACTTTGTTGTTTGAGAAGAGAGGAGGATTGTGGTGAGGTGAAAGCTTGTTTCTGCTGCCATCTAGTGGTTTAACTTCATTACTGGCCGCAGTGGTGTACAGGTGTCTCCAGGACACTGTGACATCACTGTTGGGTGTGGTGACAGGTGCAACAGACCACTCCCCTGACCAGTGGAATGATGTCATCCTGTAATTCTTCTGTGGTTTTGAAACCGAGGTGTTTTTAGCTTTTACTGCTGAAGGAAGGAGGACTGAGAGCAGGTTAAAACTGCAGTGGTCAGGGTCTGCAGCACAGCATGAGGTGGAAAATTAGTTTTTGTGTTTATCAACCCCCGCAGACAAGATTTGTAATGAATTATAATTTTGACAGTTTAAAGAACGAATCACATCAAATGAGAGACTGAATTATTGTTCTGTTTTTAAATGTGTTTTGAAAAGCTCCGGTGGCCTCTTGCGCTGTCTTACCTTGACAGCTCGGTCAACAGCTTGATCCTCACACACAGCAGAGAGGGAGGCGGAAATCATCTGTACACACACACACACACACACAGCGAGGTGAGCCTCCCCTGCCTTTCAATCCCTAAACTGCTGCATAGATGAGAAATGAAGGATTATTTCCGTAAATCTGCTGCCTCCATGTGCTTGTCTCAAACACACACACACACACACACACACACACACACACATCTGCAGTGGGGCGTAAGCAGATTACTTTATCAGAAGCCAGGCTGTTGTGTGATGTGAGTGTACACAGGACTGTCATCTGAAAAGGAATAACATCATTCACATCGTAGTGTCACTGCAGCTTCCACGTGTTTCTCTAACACACTGCCTATGCATCGTTTCTTTAACTGTTTCTAGTGGTGGAAAGTAACTAAGTACATTTACTCCAGTACTGTACTTATGCACAGTTTTGAGACACTTGTACTTGAGTATTTCCATTTTATGCCACTCTGCTGCATTTTTGAGGCAGATATTGTACTTCTTACTCCACTACATTTATTTTAAAGCTTCAGTTACTTTGCAGATTAGATTAATTATACAAAATATAAATCAGTTATTATTACATAGACATATTATCTTAATGATATATATTATTAATAAGCTACTCAGCAGTATATAAAGTAACAGCTCCATCTAAAACAGCTGCAACATTAATACATAGTACATATTAATGCATCAGTAATTCTACATTATTCTGACATGGGCCATTCTGCATGAGAACTTTAACTTAATGTGCTTTATGAGTAAATTTTGATGCTGATATTTTTGTACTTTTAATTGAGTAAGATTTTGAATGCAGGACTTTTACTTCTAACATTATATTTTGTTTATTTAACTGTTATTTAACCAGGAAGTGCCAATGAGATTGGAAATCCCTTTTACAAGAGAGACCAGGCCAAGGTAGCAGCCAGTCAAAACACATTAAAATGCATCAAACACAACATATGATACAAAAATCATACGTCTTCCACCACTGACTGTTTCTCAGCTGGCAGTCAGACGTGAGTGATTTACATTTTCAGTGTTCACCTGAGTTTTCCCCTCTCATCTTCCTGATCTGCAGTCTGAGCACTGCGTCATGTTGATCCTGAGCTGTTTGCCGCTGACAGTAGAGCCAGGCTTTATGTTGTGTTTGATGTGATGAATTCCCCCCAAATCAGCCCATCAGCTCATGACTCAGTCAGCAGCCAACAAGCTAACCAACCAGACCGCTGAGCTTCATAATACTTAAATCCTTTCAGAAAAAACGTGATGTTTGCATCAGTTATGATGTAATATTACATTAATGTCACACTGTAAAAAGTAAACAAACTCTAGGAGTATTACCACAATATAAAAAGTCTGACTTTGTGTTATTTAGGTTTTTTTTTTTTTTAAAGAAGTCTGACATAATGTCGGCATTTTTTTGTGTTTTTAGATTAAAGTAAACATTAACAGATTTGTGAACTAATTATTTAGTGTACTAAGCACACGATTTTACAGTGTTAAAATAATTTTGGCTGTGCTCTCTGGTGAACCGCTGTCAGGCAAATAGTTAAACAACTTTGTGACCTCTTAGTGACCTTTTTTGTTTAATTTTTTTCTTTATTAGACAAGACAGATCCATGGCCATGGGTTGGAGTCGAGCCTGTGGCCGTTGCAGCAAGGACAGGGCCTTTGCACATGGGACATCTGTTCTACTGGGTGAGCTAGTGGGTGCCCCATCTTTAGTGTTTCTGCACCCAAGTTTCTTGTTGCTTACCAGCTGATATGTACGCCATCACCAATATATTTGTGATAAGCTAAAATCAGCCAGTAATATTGGTCCTGTCCATTTAATGATCAGGCTCTAATGTGCAACTGGCTCATTCAAATTAAGAGCTTGTAATAAGCTATATTATACTAAATAAACTCGCTGAGTAACAAGTAGCTGAATCATCAGATAAATTAAGTCCCAAAATAAAACTGCTCCCACACCAGCAGTTAAAAAAATATCTAATATATTTATACTTCCAACTTTTAACCATTAGTAAATCAATCTTATAAGTCGATGTGAAAAGTAAAAGGACACAGAGTTAAAAACATAGATCATTTATTAAAAGAAGACATGCTGCTACAGTTGTTGATAGAAACAGCTGCTGTCAGACCACTGATACTGTAACAGTAGGAAAGGTACATAATAATATTTACTGAGGGTCACATCTCCTACTATAGAGCTCCACAGGAATACAAAACCACACCACGTCCTCACACAGGGAACCTCAACAGCTCTCTTTAGAAACAATAATAATCATAATAATTATAGTGTGTATGTGTGTGTGGGCTCCTCAGGGCTCTGTGGTGTTTCCACATATTAAAGTCACTCACAGTTGAAGACGCTTAAATACTGTTACAGTGGTTTGATTTACACACACACACACACACACACATCACACTGATTTTTTGCTCGTCTTCTGCCGCCTCAGATTTGAGAGTTCTTCGCAGCACAGAGCAGATCAGTCTGCTTTTAAATGTTGAATGAAATTGTTTCCAGAAACAGGCAAAAAACTGCAACAAAACATTTTCTTTTTTGTCAAGAACTTCAGAGCATGTGTGATCAGGAAAATAAAGAACAGAAGCGGATAGCTGACAGACTCAATAAGTTTTTTTTTTGCACAATGCACATGGGCAACTCCTCCGAAGAACACACCAAAGACACAAAGTCAAAACTTAAGGATAGTCTTATCTGATTAAACCCACACTGCTGAGGCACTGGAAGCTTCACACGGACATTTTTAATGTCTAATAAATATTTATATGTCAAACATCGTCGAGATATGTTGCTCTGAATTTGGTTCGGCTTTTTTTTTGTCAATTCAGCAGACACAGTGCACAAATAGAATTTCTTTATCATATGTAGTGGGGAACTTTGAGATTTAACTGATGAGCAACCTCAGTGTGTAAAGTTTCTATAGAACTCACTCATGTTAAACTCATGAAGTTACACAGGTGGGCTTGCCGCAAGCCACAGCAGAGCCTCAAGAAGTTTCCTCATTAATCGCTGATTTCCAAACACACAGTACATTTTACAGTACAGAAAGATCAGGACCAGGATGGAGTTGAGAAATGTGGTATCAGCACTTTGGAAACAAATCAAAGGCCATAAAAAAAGAACATCGGCTACACTACTGTTCTTTTTTTGTTTTTTAAACAAATGGTCTCATTCAAAATGATAGTGTACAATCAATGAATCAAACCCAAATGTCTTCAAGAAGTCAAACCACAAACAGAATCTTATTAAAAAAAACAAAAACAAAACATTCAATAAAACCGTCAAGCACAAACGTCTCTATTGCAAACGGACATACAAACAGATTTCAGTTGCTACATTGAGTATCACTGTTTGGGGTTGTTGTATTTTGTCGTGACTTGTCGCAGTTCCCGTGTCCCTGCTGAGCAGTCAGGGAGCTTGTCACTGCAGTTGGGTCAAATCCTTACAACTGCAGTGTTGATGTTTGTCTTTAAATCCAAAGTTTCCATTATAATTTGTGCATTGAGATATTTGTGAACTTTAGGTCCTTGGTAACTGTTGAATCTCCGTTTTGTATAGTTCCAGAAACACATGTCAGAAAATCGTCTTTCCTGAAAGATGTACTCCAAGATATGTTGCTTCTTCAGTGTGAAAATGCACCAATTCCCCGTCTTGTTTCGTCCACAACCCCGGTGTGAAACAGGATTTTGAATACTCAAAAAGCAAAAGCAGCGTTGTGCTTCGTCTGTATGCTAACAAACATCGCGCCTTTAGAAAGTTATCAACACTGAAGCTTCAATACAAATATTAACATGGTGAGCTGGTTGCTTTGTGCCAGAGTGTCAGATCTCTGTCTCTGGGCTGTGCTATGGTCCACTGCTGGCCAAACATCAGAAATATGTAAAAATATTCTGCTTTTTTTCTCACAGCACCTTGATTTAGTGGTAATGGCTCAGGCTGGAGCTGCACAGAGGGAAAGCTGTGGGTTCTTGGCGAGTTAGTCTTAATAACCAAGATTTGTTTTTCTGTGCAGATGTTTTAGATTTTTTTTTGTAGATTGAGCCACAAACACCTTCCTCCTCCATTGTTTGAATTGGAAGACTAGGATTTTTGTCATCACCTGCTCTCCATGTGGCGTGTGCATAGCTCGTTGTTGGAACAAAAAGCTAGGATAAAACGTTCAGTTGGCAACAAAACATACTTGTTCTGTGAGCGAGAAGACACTGTGAAACATTCAAAGGAAAGTGATAAAACAATCAAATGACAATATTCACAAACAATCTGTACACAGACTCCTGAAACCCTCCTGCTGATGACTGATGCGACCAAAACACCAAAAGTAAAATGAGGAGTGTTTTCCCCTAAACTTTACAGATATGTAAGATTATCTTTGTTCCATTAGGTGTGAAGTTAAAAGTGCACCCTTTGACATCACTTTAAATCACAAAGTTAACATCCTGTTGGCTTGCTAGCAGCCTTCCTGCCTTTGTTGGCATTCCTTGGCACATAATAGTTAGCATACATGAGATACTAACAAAACAAGCACCCACTTTTAAAAACATTGCTCCACATCACTACCAGTGGCCAAAAACTTTACAGAGTGCCTTTAAAATAAGTTGCTGTTTTTGTTTGTAGCAGCTGGAAGTTAAAGTAAGGAGTTGAGTTACTTTGTTGTAGAAGTTTACAGGTGTTCGATCATTGCTAGCTTTGGTCGTCAAGAAACCTAATGTTGTTGCGTGCAGCCTAATTGAAAAAAGATAATCTCTGAGCTTGATTTTAGGAAACACCATTTTTCTGAGAGTTAATCCTTCAGATGAAAACTATAGAAATCAGCTGGGTTTTTTCAGTCATGCTAAAGGCAGATAGTTGTATTGTCTGTTCGGTTCTATGTAGCAGAAAGAGTTAGCCTTTAATGATTTTTTTTTTTTTTAAATCATGGATTTAATCTTTTGTCTTCACTCAATAGCTGCCCTCAAAATGTCATTGAGCAACTAACTTAACCCCTTAATTCTGTGAACAGAGCTGGTTGTACTCGTCAACACTTTCTCAATAAAAACGGACTTCTATAGTTCTCAGTCTGAAGGCTTAAAACCATACGGTACATTCTGTGGATGTAACAAACATGACTTAATGTAGATGCATTTTGACGTACAAACATATATACTGTATCTGAGTACAGCATGTGTTGAATATGTTTCGATATAAGGTTTCTGTTAACAACTGAATACTGTTTTGTCTCTGGTATGATACGTGATATTCAAACATCATTTCACTGGTTAAAACCAACTATGACATGTGTGACGTGTGATTTCAAGCTTCTTTGATTTCAAGCTTCTCAGCTGTGATCATCGAAGGCCTCAACAGGAAGATCCAAACAATAAAACCCCAATCAAATTCAGACTTGATTGGATTTTTTTTTGGACAATCCTTTTGATACATCACGCATACGAGCGTGAAGCAGTGCATACAGTACTGAACGCTCTCATCAAGGCTCTCATCGGTACAGAAGCTTCTCTGAGCAATAAGACAATTCAGCAAGCTGCTCTGAGAACTTTCATGGTTGCCTGACTCTTATTTGTCCCCTGTGAAGAACTAAAAATATGAGTTTCTGATTGGAAAACTGCTTTAACAAAACATTTTGACTTTCTTTGACATTCTAGGTTGACAAACACAGAGTGGAGCTGCCCTCATGTTGCGGAGCTGGAGCAGTGTCCTTTGACTCAATATCTCAGTTTCTCAGTATTACACCAAAAGTCAAAATGCATTCATCCATGAGATTAAAACATGACAATTTTCATTAATAGGAGCATTTGGTGACCAAAACAATCATCTTAGAGCCCTGTAAAGGTCCTGCCCCCACTGTCCCAACTGCCTGTATTATCTGCTGACAGCGTGCAGAGTATTGTATCCCTCTGTCAGATAAATCTGTCTTGAATGAGGCCTTTGTTAGAGTGTTCACTCGGCCAACATCTGCCTTCACTTCTCTTTTGTCTGAGTGGACAAACTGGCTTCAGCTGAACTTGGACCAGCTAAATTGTTTTATTTTCCAGCTGTTGGTGGAACAGCTGTGAAGGCAGCACCCAGCTGGCCAACAGTACGTTAGTTTACTGTGTGAACACATGGGTTGGCTACAGCAGAGTTTGGTTGACACATCCGAAGCCCCACAGCCTTCTGCTAACCTGTTTTGGAAAAACTAGTGATTTAATTTTTCAGGATATACTTTTTAAGGTACCCTTTTCAAGATCACAGTATTTTAAGAATAATCCACAATGCTCTCATTCATCAATTGTGTTGACCTCTCAATGTGTGGTATGTTTAATGTTAAACTGAACTGTGGTTGATTCTGTATCATTCACATTTCACTCTCAACAACAAGTTGAGTTAAGGCATGAGAAAGAAAAAAGAATAATGAATGTTGTCATAATTAATGTGTTAATTCTTAAGTTGTGGCCAAAAACATGTTTTGCGAGATCACAGTGGCCTTGACCTTTAACCACCAAAATTGAATCAGTTTGGTCTTGTGTCCAAGTGGATGTTTGTGCCAAATTCAAGGAAATTCCTTTTAAGGCTGTCAAGGTCACTGTGAACACAAGGTCACAGTGACCTTGTGTTCACAGTGGCCTTGACCTTTAACCACCAAAACTGAATCAGTTTGGTCTTGTGTCCAAGTGGATGTTTGTGCCAAATTCAAGGAAATTCCTTTTAAGGCTGTCAAGGTCACTGTAAACACAAGGTCACAGTGAACTTGACTTCTGACCACCAAGATCTAATCAGTTTATTTTTTAGTCCAAGTGGACAGTTGTGCCAAATTTGAGGAAATTCCCTCAAGGCCTTCTTGAAATATCACATTTATGAGAATGAAACAGATGCAAGGTTACACTGACTTTGATCTCTGACCATTGAAATCTAATGAGTTCATCTTTGAGTCAACGTGGAAGTTTGTACCAAATCGTAAGTAATTCCCTCAAGGCTTTTCCTGAAATACTGCGATCACGAGAATGGAAACGGACACAAGGTCACACTGACCTTGACCTTTGACTGCCAAAACCTTATCAGCCTTGAGTCCACGTGGACACTTGTGCCAAATTTGAAGAAATTCCCTCCAGGTATTCTTGAGATGCTGCGTTCATAAGAATGGGATGGATGGATGGACAAGCTAGCTTAGCCTACAGCTAAATTTCCATGCAAACAGGTGTTTTTTCCAAACAATTAAGCTATAATAAATAATAGAAATCACCTTGTTGAATAAATAACAATGTGAACGTTGAACGATCGACTCAATCAATAGTTATGTGGACAAAAATGCTGAACCTTCTCTTTTACTATAATATCAGTAAGTGCCTTTCTGTCTACATATTTAGTTTTAGATACTGTGACCATAAACTTCTTGTCCAACACGAGTCTGTATTTGAGTCTTTACATTTTTGTGTTTGAGGAGTTTTACTTGGCTGGAAACAGAGCTGTGGTTATGTATTCAGTTATGTGTCAACAGAGGGCAGAGGAGGAGGGGAATAAGAGAGGGGGTAGGGTGGGGGGCAGGAGGTTTGCCGCAGTGCTCTAATGATCGTTCACTGATGTTCTGCAGTGAATCCTCTCTCTATATAACTCCCTCTCTTCTCACCCCTTTCCATCTCTTCTCTTCTTCTTTCTTTTCCTCTCTATGAACTCCGTGTCTTTGATTTCCCTGCATACCTTATTGAACGTCCTCTCCTTATTCTACACTCGTCCTCTCTGATCAATAGAATCTGCATGTGGAAGTCTACTTAGTCATCTTATTTAAGTTGCTGTTGGTTCAGGGGGTTTTGGAAAGGTCGGATTGAAACTGAAATATTACTTCTGAACATCCCTTCAGTGGTCTTTTTATTAAAGCCAAAGTGCTGCAGTAGTTGAGCAGATGTGAGAATAAAGTGGGATAACAACACCCACACCTGTGAATCTCCTCCTCTAGGCCTGCCATGTTGGAAAACTGACAACAAAATGAAACCCTGTGAAGTCATTGCTGCTCCCATCCTTGACTTAAATTCTCAGTAAGAAATAGTGCCATAGAAGTAGCATCATGATAACTGATAATTTAACACGATAACGTGCCAAAACCCCCAATAAATTTAAATATTTTTAGTCTGTTCTGTGCGAAGAGAAACAGAATATGTTCTTGTGGTGACTCTTCCACCATGGATACCGGTCTCTCTCAACCACTGAAAAATATGTTCACCCATTTGTGCTGATAAATATCTACTCTTTCTTCTCTCTCACTTCCTGTTGTAGCCCTTCTCTAAGACACAAGGTCACTGAGGGGTCACACAACACTTGGCTTTATCTGTTGTCAGGACATGACAGCTCTCAGCCTTTAATTTCTACCTACCAGTTCAATGAAATCTTGTTAATCTAGAAATGCATTGATAGCACTTCTTCTGGGCTTATCCTACATCAGATGGATAGTGCTTCAACTACATGACTGACGTGTATGTGTAAGAGAAAGAGCAGCCACTCTCAGGTGTTAAATGATGAGGCTGTTGTCAAGAATTCATTGCTACTGAACAGTCCACTGTTAGGCATTAAAACCAGAACAACCAGTCACTTTTTGTCCGAGTCTTGGCTTCTGAAATATTCTTCCGCTTCCAGCTCAGAAAAGCTCTTTTAACATGTTTTAGTGTGTTCGTCAACCACCTTGACTGTGTGAAATCGCTCTAGCTGCAGTGACTCCTCTCTTGAAAGCGGTGGCAGGTAGAGGCTCTTCAGGAGGATCAGGGTGGCTGAGAAGGCTGGACGGATTTTGGATGATTGGGAGGTAATGATGGGGATCAGATGCGGATCTGGTAGCCATCATTAAGAGTGCTAAGCTCCGGAGGTTTCCTCTCCACCGAGGCCGGCCTGAAAGATGGATAGAAAGCAAAAAAAAAAGTGGTTAGATCACCGAGTGCATATTAAAAACACAGTGGTGGTATTGTTATTGTAGCAGTCCTCTTTCCTGCTGACATGTCCTCCTCAACGTTACACAGTAAAACTAAATTAGTACAAACCTCAGAACATTTACTTTGAAAAAAATGTCATAGAAGAGTATGTAAAAAAAAAAATGTCACAGTATAGTATGTCAAAAAAAAAGTCACCGTATAGTATGTCATTTAACGCCATAAAAATGTCATAGGTTAGCATGCCATAAAATATTATAAAAATAATATAACATAGTATGTCATAAAAAATGTCAAAAAATATCATAGTATAGTATGTTAAATAAAGGCCTAAAAATGTCGTGTAGTATGTCAAAAAATGTTATGAAAATGTAACAGTATAGCATGTCATATTAATGTCAAAAATGTCATTGTATAGTGTGATGAAAATGTTATAAAAATGTCAATCATAGTATAGTATGTCCAACATTTTTAGAAAAATGACATAGTATAGTACGTCATAAAATGTCATAGTATAGTATGTCATAAAATGTCATAGTATGGTATGTCATAAAATGACATTAGTATGTCATAAAAATGTCACAGTATAGTATGTCCAACATTTTTATAAAAATGACATAGTATAGTATATCATAAAAATATCATAGTATACTATGTCATAAAAACGTCATAGTAAAATATGTCATAAAAATATCATCATATAGTATGTTATAAAATGTCATTGTAAAATATGTCATAAAAATGTCATAGTATAGTATGCCATACTATACTATGTCACAAAATGTCATAGTATAGTATGTCATAAAAATGTCATACTATACTATGTCATAAAATGTCATAGTATAGTATGTCATAAAAATATCACAGTATAGTATGTCCAACATTTTTATAAAAATGACATAGTATAGTACATCATAAAAAAAACGTAATAGTAAAATATGTCATAAAGATGTCATAGTATAGTATGTCAAAAATTTGTATAAAAATGTCATAGTATAGTATGTTATAAAAATGTCATAGTATAGTATGTCATAAAATGACATAGTATAGTATGTCATAAAATGACATATTATACAACAGTTAGTTCCGGCCCTGCAATCTGATTGGTCGAGAGACAGTAAAACTGTGATGATATTGGAGTACAACATCACGGTTATTTCACTGTGTATGTATCACTCCGCCTCACAGCCGATTGCAATCAACAATCAAATCAAAACTGACGGTTAGTGTCAGTTAGGTCAGCAGTTGCGTTGTAGGCTAATTAATTCATCCACTGTCAAACAGCCAAAAATATGGATTTATTTCCTAAAATAAGTTTTGAATTGAACTATGAATGGTCATCAGAGGAAGATGAGGGAGAGGAGAAGCTGAATCCATCTGAGCACACATCCAGGTTTGTCAGTGTTTCATCAGCGGAGCTCAATGACTTGGAGAAAAGCAACATACTGTCAGATCAGAAGGCAGAGT